TGACAGAGAGCAGATTTTGAAAAGCAACATAACCACAAGTAATGCTAACATAGGTAGAGATAATTTCCTGTTACAATGATCTGGGCAGGTTGACATTAATTATCCAGTTTATTTTTGTAGCCATTATGCTGCAGTAACCCACTACTTGCTGATCCAGTAGCCTTTTGTTGTCTGTCAGAAAATACATTAACCACCAAATGCATCACGTCAGTGTGAGCTTTGCCATTATGTGCAGTGATTCTCCATAAGGCTTATCAGAAGCTGCAACTGCTGATTTCTTTGAAAGGATATACATCATCTCCCAGGCTAGGTCACCAGATTGCTAATGCTATGCCCTCACAGTGGTGAGGTACTGCCCAGAACTTGTTGCAGCCCCAGTGTCTTTCAACCCATCATATATATGTATATTTTTATTTTTACATAAGTATATGTATGTCATATGTAAGTATATTTTTGTCTGCCAGGCATAAAGAAACCCACAACAGTCTGACCACTAAATATGCTCCTGACAATAACGGAGAAAAAGGAAATTTAAAAGAGACTTCTTGCTTCACTTATACCCATTATTGATATGAATAAATGTCACTAATTCAACATTACTGTTAAATTCACTTAAGATCATTCAGTGGACAAAAAAAGCTAACATATGAAAATGGCTGTTTAGCAAGGAGCTGAAATAAATATGGTGGCAAGAAAGGTCTAAGACAAGACAGGGCTGTCATGTCTTACTCTCAAATGACATAAACAATGAAGTCATGAAATCAGTTTCACTGCTTTTGTATATAAGCTTTCTGTGGCTTCCACACTAAAAAACAGAAAAATAATACCCTTTGCTAATGGAGCCATCTCACCAGGAAGCACGGCATGTGTCCAATTCAATGTGTCATCAGCTTTCAGTCCTCAATTCAGTTCAGCAACAGTTAAACTGTTCAAGGCCTGCATTATAACCTTTTAGAGATGACACATGACAAGATGATTTTTGATAAATAGTGGAACCTTGGTACTAGAAATGTGGCCCTTGCTTTGCCAAGGAGAGCAGGTCTCTGGCTTCAGCCTGATGTGTTGTCAGTCACAGCTGTTCAGGTAACCATTTCATTGTCATTGTATACTCCGACCCATGCCATAGTCTCCTCTCACTCAGAAACTGTTCACTTTCATATTCGCCTGCATTTTGTTGCAATAGAACAGCAAAATGTTTAGGCTACAGCAGAATGCTGCAAGCTCATTTCTAAGGGTGACCTTGAGTACATCTGGCACAGAAGAAGTGCAGTAGAAGACAGGCAAGCACTTTGTTTCCTGTGCCTCTCCTATACTGCCTCTGTCCAACACTGGCATCGCCATTTGAAACAGCAGAAAGGAACTAAATAAGTGCCCGTTTTTCTGGGTGAATGCGCATTCAGAATTGAACTTTCATGTGCATGCTATGAAAATCAAGAAACCAAAGACTAATTAGAAACTTTAATCTTCCAAAACCATGATTGTTTTTTTCCCCTCTTGCTTTGAAGCTCATATTTAAGTCTTGTGATTTTTTTTAACTCTTTGGGGTGGAAAGCATGAATTAAAAATCAGTCTGTGACCCATTACTATTTTATAATCCTCTCTTTGGCAAGTTGAAAATAACAGCTTGCCAGGCTTGTATTTAAACTTTCATGGAAAGATGTGAGGGAGTGAAATACGATGGCCCAAACAAGAGACAATGCAGGAAAGCTAGGTGGTGTTGGGAAGGCCCATCCAGAGAGGCAGAACAAGAGCATATTATCAAATATACATGTTTTGAACTGATCTGAGACCAAAATAACCTTTATTTTTGAGGAAGTAACTGCTTATAATAGTGACCATTATATTTTCAGGTTCAGGAAGCGCACAGGAATAACAAGGCCAAAAACATCACCATGGCCATGCTGACCTTCAGAAAGGAGAACTATGTAAAAATGAGGAATCTTGTTTTAACTAAGTTAGAGAAGGATGTCCAAGAGATATAAATCCTCACAGGCAGCAGAGAGACACCTGAAGAACACCATACTGGGACCATAGCACCATGTATACCGCTTGCTGGAAATCCCTTGGGAACAGGTAAAGGAAATCAGCATGGCTAAACAGTAAAGCAAGGGAAGTCACTGAAATTAAGATGTTAGCATTCAAAACAATGAAGATGCATCTCAGTGAAGAAAATTTAAAAGTTATAAATTCTGATAAAATAAACATAACACTGTAATTACTAGAGTAGCATTTGCTTTGTAAGCATTGTGGCAAAATTTCAAGGTGTTCATTTTCCCCATAAGTAATTTGAATTGTCTATGACATCAAAAGACAAACTGATGTCTTGATTCACTGGTTCACCTGCTATTCATATCATGCAGATCAGGATGAAAATGAATATAAAGTGCTGTGGAATAGAGCCATTTTATACTTGTTTTAAGCAGTATGAATGATAATAGGAAGTGTAGGACAAAAATGGATCTAAATATTTCTAAACCATCTTTTCTAACTTCAGAAGTGCCACCGTATGAATCTTTCCCCATTCAGACAAGAGAATGCCATTAGTGCATGGTAAATCAACCTGCCTGATTTTATAACCATACCCTGGAGTCACTTGACATGTTTATCTGTGCCTCATTAGTGGCAAATTTACTGCCTGATACAGCAGGACCAAATCTGTCACACTTGCAAATGCTGATATTCCAAATCAACACACTTTCCACTTATGCAACTAGATCCTGCCTAGTTATAGCCACAGTTTGCTTCAGGGTCATGCCTCCAACCTTGCCTCTCTGTGCCTGTGTTCCTAGCCTTGCAACAAAGACATGGATACATGTAAGTATTTTTTCCATAAATGAGTTGTGATTTTTTAAGGAAATGTCTAAATACACGTTACCTTTTGTTTACTTCTCATGACCCCTAGGCTGAACTAGTTCCACTGGCATTCAGTAAAATGAATTCTAGAATGGCTTGCACAAGAGTCTTAAAAAACAAATATGCCAGCAATGGGAAATATTTTTACCAAAGGCTCTTTCAATTCAGAAACAGAATCATTAGCCTGAGGACCTGAGGATCATCTAACTTACTTCTGACCTCAAAAGGATTAGGAAGACAATTAATTTTACGTATTCTTGAGCATTTTTCCCATGCTAAGCTTCTGCATAAGTTCTTGCAGTATCACAGAACCATAGAATCATAGAATGGTTTGGGCTGGAAAGGACCTCAAAGATCATCGAGTTCCAACCCCCCTGCCATGGGCAGGGACACCCTCCACTAGACCAGGTTGCTCAAAGCCTCATCCAGCCTGGCCTTGAACACCTCCAGGGATGGGGCATCCACAACTTCCCTGGTCAACCTGTTCCAGTGTCTCACCACCCTCACAGTGAAAAATTTCTTCCTAATGTCCTGTCTAAATCTACCCTCTTTCAGGTTATAACCATTACCCCTTGTCCTCTCACTACACTCCCTGATAAAGAGTGCCTCCCCATCTCTCCTGTAGGCTCCCTTCAGGTACTGGAAGGCTGCTGTTAGGTCTCCTCGGAGCCTTCTCTTCTCCAGGCTGAACAACCCCAACTCTTTCAGCCTGTCCTCATAGGGGAGGTGCTCCAGCCCTCTGATTAATTTTGTGGCTCTCCTCTGGACTCTCTCCAACACGTCCAGGTCTTTTTTATGTTGGGGGTCCCACATCTGAACACAGTACTCCAGGTGGGGTCTTAGGAGAGCAGAGTAGAGGGGGAGAATCACCTCCTTTGACCTGCTGATCATGCTTCTTTTGATGCAGCCCAGGACCCTCTTTCATGGGATCAGTGGTGTTCTGTCTAGAGAGAGAAATATTTTGTAGGCATTTCACTGGAGAGTTGAAAATAATTAATAAATTGCAGGATAATGAAGACCACTGAAATATTCATCATGAAGGAAGACATCCTAAGCCACTGACGAAATAATCTGCTACCTTCTATTGCCTTCAAATTTCTCTTTATTTCCTCTATTTCTTTTCCCTACCCCTTTCTACAGCTACATTAATTTTCTCTACCTCTGCCGACTGGATTTTGCTCTTGTTATGACTGCATACACATCTCCATTTCCTCTTGATGGCTTGATACTTCTAATATTATATTTTGAAACATCATCTTGTGCATTCTGTGCTTCATTGCTATTATAAAAATGTTAGGTTCCTGTAAAACTAAAAGCAGCAAATAGATTTTCTGGGGGGGCAGACAAAATTGTGGAGATTTGTATTTTGCTTGCTCAAATACAGTTCTGCCTTTCAGGAGACATATTTAGGAGCTGCCTTTGCTTTGTGTGGTGCTTTTCTGCAGTGACAGCAGGCGGTGCTTTAGTGGCAATTTTAAAATATAACATTACTGTACGTTACAAACAGTACAATAGTTTTTTTGTACAGCAATACTTCTTAAAAGCAAAAAACCAAAACCAAAAACAAGATGACATTCCTAGTTTTCTCCCTCTGTCGTAGCAAACAGTTCCTGGGCAATTCTTCAACCTCCCAAAGCAGGGCCACTCACTCTTCTGTTAAAAAAAAAAACAAACACACACACATAAACTCTGGATATGAATTAGTAACCACATAAGATAGCAAACTGTTTTTTTTCTTTTTAATAAATTTGTATTTTCACTTGATTTACTAGGTCTATTAAATATTTACATTATTGCTTTCAAGTTATGCTCTAGTATATGTATTATATTTTAAACACTCAGAAATCTTTTTAATTATCATTTATTTCATATTTTTTCACTTTTACGACCTTCTCAGTGTGAATGTTTTTCCTTAAGCTGCAAGACTTTCAAAACACCAGGTTTTTTATTGCAGTCATCTACTTGTTAGCTTTATTTTTTTATTACATTATCAGCCATTAGACAAATAAAAGGTAAGTCAAATAATCTAATTTTGTTGATGGAACATAATGCAACTCTAGGCACTCTAAAAAAAGTAAATAACCCCTTGTTCCTCCAACAACCATACATAAGTTAATGGCTGTAATGAGCCTACCAGAAAATACACCTCAGAAAACAGTTAGAAGTGCAAAAAGTCCGTAGAGTAAAGCACATGGGTACGCAATGAGAAGCTGCTGTCCTTCCATAGCCAATGCAGAGGTAAAAATTTTGGAGGCTGACAAACTGCACCATCCAATAATAAACAGAGCTAACAAAGTTCCCAGGGTCCCCCTAGGAGAAAACAAAACAAAACAAAACAAAAACAAAAACAAAAGAAATATGACAGAATTTACTTCTTAGTAAATGTAGCATTAAATCTTATTAAATTCATGTTCTTGTCTAGCAACTTGTTATTGATAAGGTAACAGTCTGACATAATGAAAGTCAAGCTTGAGAAACAAATTAGAACAGTAACAGGAAACAAAAAGGTAATTTCTTCAAGCATGGATAAAAGCAGCAGCTTCATCAGTAGTGCAGGACAAGTGCATTTCCAAATAGATCTCTTAGCAGAGATCCTATTGCAGCCAAAATCATCTTGTACATGTTGTTAGTATCTAAAATGACACTACAGACCTGATCTTCCATCAGGCAGCCTGACAACCTAGAGAGGGTGCATTTTTGTAACACATGGCACAAGGTTTAAGTGTGCCTTGGACTCTGAGGAGAGGCAATGAGGCTCTTAAATAATCACCCTGCAGCTGCCTGTGCAGAAAGGTGTTGACTGCCTCCCAAGAGGAAGTTCAACTGGCCTTTTAAAAAAGGGGTGCACATTGGGTAGAGAGTAAGGGATGGGAAAAGAACCACTGAGAAAAAATATTTTGCTCATCCTGGCATCCTTCTCTGCACACTGAAAGGACAGTGGCTTTCCACACAGCCCCTTGGTGCCAGCTGAGCCCTTCTGAAACTACATTCTGCCACCTCTCAGGCACAGGGCAGCTTGGAGTACTGATGATTATGGGACTATGGTCAAAAGCCCACTGAAATATTCCTGCAGATTACAGAGAGCTCCCTATTAAACCTTGTAGGAACAAAACCTTGCCAATAATGTTTCACATATGCTTTATTTGCACTCTGTATTTGCAGCCCCCTTCTGTAAAATGCATGAGATCATGCGCGCAATAAGCTGCTGAAGTACATAATGAGATCAGGTGCGTTACACAGTTTTGCTGTGTCAGCCTCAAGGACGTGGAGAATGAATGAACCTCTGCCACTTGCTAAAGGACTTCCTGGAGCCCCACTCTTCCAAAGTATCAGCAAAACAGAACTAGAAGTGAGAAACAGACTACATATACTTACTTAGGTCCATTTATCTGAAATAATTTCCACTGATATTATTATTGCAATTAAACCATGATGAGTAAAGCTCTCCTTATTTAATTGACTTACTTAATGCAATCATATCACATAAAGTAGTTCATTTTTGGCAATCCAGTCTCCACGCCAATAAGGTACTTGGTGTTATCAGCTCTTGGGACTTTGGGGAAGAAAGGAGAGAATCGATTTGAAGGTGACTCAGCACCCCATTGCAACTTCAACCCATTAAAAGTAAAACATTAAAGACTATGTGATTTAATATCCTCAGTTTAAGTGTTCTTTAAACCTGTCCAGTGGCATTCAGTGAAATTACACTGGGCTCTGTGAACCAAGTTCCTGGCCTCAGCTCCAAGTGGAGATGCTAAGATGCTCACTTAAACAGCTAGCCAGAAATACAGAGCTGGTATAGATGGCTCTTTGAGCAGGTACCCATGCTGGCAGAGGGATGGAAAGTAACAGGAACATAATGTGCAATGACAATGTTCACCTAGCATAAGGAGTCTTTAGGGGGCTATCACAAGGTAGTACAATTTAGAGCTGTGGCTGTTCTGCCTTGCACTGAAGTCCAATGGCCTCTCATGGTTTGTTCCAGGACTGGCAATGAGCAGGATGGAAAGGCGACATAAAATCATATTGGAGCCAAGAGATACTTCTGTGCACTTATAAATTCAGTCTGTGATCTAACAGCATGTTACTGACAAAAGGAATGGTTTGGCTTTAGCAGAAAGCTTGTGTCTGGCATGTCCATGAGGGCCAAATCCTCAAGCATGGGAGAGGGGCAAAAGGTGAATGTCATGCTCACAGAAACCATGAGGACTGGGGGGGTACTGGCATGGGACTGAGTTGTGGGAACAGACATGAGTGGACTCTCTCTGCTCCTCTCTCTCACAACCTGCAGATGCTGTCACCAAATGGATCCTTTGCGTTGGCTGGGTCTAAGAATTCCTTTCTACACTCTCACGCTCATTTCCTTCACTGTTTAGTCAAGGAAATGGCTTGACCACTCTGTTCAGGGAAGTGATAGTAAAGAATTGTTGTTTTTTCCAGGAAAAAAAGTCTGTTGAAGTTTCTCCCAAAAAGGAGACTTAATCAGTTTTGGCTCAGACATGATATCAACATAGATGGGCACAGACAAATCTGATTCTGTGTAAGTTTGCATACAAGAACTAGTTTTCTGTTTGGTACTACTCAGCACCCAAAACGTTCTATATTATGCTTTATTCAGTTACAACGAAATAGCTAATAATGAAAATAGAAAATTGTTGGATTAGTATGTATCTTTGCAATAGATGTCCGCATTATGTGTATTTTCTGTGAAAATAAACACTGAAGTTAGTCCTTTACACTTTGAAATAGACAAAAATAACAATTTTACAAATATTTTTAAAATCATGAATGTATTGCTGTCTTTGCCATTTTAAATAAGTTTTTAAATTAAAATTTATGAAATGTATGCTGAATTTAAAAGTTGACACTTAATTTTAAAAGCATGTTCATAATAATTGACCTTGATACTTGCTGTGCTCAAGCAGTTTCATATACTGAACGAGAAAGGACTGCAGAATCCTGTAAAGAGGCACTTAACATTATCAATTCATTTCAGAAATAATGGTTTAATTTTGTAAATGCTATCACATTTCAGTATTTATAGATTTTCAAAAGATGTTCTTTCTGTAAATCCACAGCATTTTACAAATGTGCAGCATGTGTTTGGGGATTCCTTGTACAGACAACAGTACCCTGCACAGTTGTGACAGATGGTTTGGAGTTCACCCCATCTGTCCTACAATTACGTATCTGCACCTTTTATTAGGGTGGATTATTAAACAGGTTAATCAAGAAAATACGGGAAGTATAGGGGAACAGAGAATAAACAGCTTTTTCACTGTCACTGTTCATCTCATGAAGGACAACTCAGAAACACTTCAATACATGGAATATGGTCAGGTTAACCCACCATAGCTCCACAGAAACATGCAACAAGGACTGTGCCAAAATCTTAATCCAACTATATAATTTCCTTTAAAAAAATAATACATGCATACATAAAATTGCTCCTTTTCCAAAGAAAATAAACAGGGACATATTCATCAGCTGCTAAGTCTCATATGTTACAGATTGGAGAGTTAAAAATGTGAAAGAACAACAAAGACTAAGGAGGGAAGCCATTATTAATAATGTGTTAATGACAGATAAAATACTGCTCAAGACCTTCAGGCAAGACCTGGAGCTTCCTTGTACTTTGCTGTAGGTGAACAGGGAGGTAAACACAGACTGTGTTTCAAAAGGCTGACAGAATGTGGAGGAAGGAAAGGCTTGCATACAAATTTCCTATTCATAGGCATATTACTGAACTCTTCCCCACACATGCAGAGATACATACACCACCACACATTTGTTTTTTCAAAGTTTTCAGTTATTTTCATGTTTGCAAGTACATCACAACTATACCTGAGAGTATACGACACTATTACATCTTAAACACTTGATCTAATGCTCCAGATCATTAAGGGTTGCTTGATTATTTCATTTTGTCACACAGAAGTTGGTCTACAAAAGGAAAGGAAGCATAGGATGGGAGCCTGATACTACAAACAACAAAAGAGCTGAACCAGCTATGTAAAACCAAAGTCCGGCAGTTGCTTTTAAAATTCATACCTGAGTTTGGTCACTGCTGGCTATGCAAAATAAAAATCACATCTGAGACTGATGCAAAAATCCAAGGCACTCTCAGTCCAAATGGGAAACGGTGGAATTAAGGACTCATATTAAAATGAATATATATCATCCCCCTCAAACGCAGTCCAGTTTTGCCCATTTCCACCTACCCACATAAACAAAATGGTGTTTTTCTTCACAGTTTCAAAAGCCAAAATTCACTACATAACCATTTACAAAATGTGTAACACCAGCCTTCTGACTTACTGTCCTCCATAAGATTCCTCTTGCCACAGACTGGTACTTACTGTAGCGAGAAGACGACTGCAGAAGAGGACAGGATCACCATGGGCAGCAGGCAATAGCCCAAGACACTTGCAACGCAGCCATGCGAGACTCCTGGGACGCTCATCAGGTTCAGTAGGGCATGCATAGCAAGGCAGCCAATGGCGCTCATGCCATACACATAGCTGAAATGAACTTTTCCTGCCTGGAATAAATGAGTAAGCATAAAGCATCAGAAGTGAGCAAGTGATCACAAAGTGGTGGAAGAAGACAGAAGGCAAGCTTTGGTCTGTGTCTTGTTGACACTCTCTTTGCTTCACCTGCATGGGTTCAACTGTAAACCACAGCTGATACTTTTGGGTGATTTTTGTATCAAAAAACTTCCAAGGTAAAATTGTGAGAATGTGTTTGTCACTAATTTAAAGTTATATGGCTGATTCTCAGTCTTACTGTAATTGGACTTTGAACAGGACAGGAATTGGTAGGGGAGAGCTGGGAAGGTCTAACTGGTAGCAAACTGAGAAGAAATTACAGAAAACACATTTTATTGTCAGGAAATATCTTTCCAATAGGTGTATATGGGGCTGTGGAAAAGTGTCCTAAGTAAAATGATGACCCGATTTACTTGATATGCTTCACATTTTATGACATAGTGAAAGCTTTAAGCAGGCCCACAAAAAACTAGTAAAACTTTGCTGAAAGTATGCTGGTTTACAGGGTGAATGTGTCCATTCTTCCTCCTGACTACCATGAGAAAGACACATCTATGCGGTTAGATCAATATTACATGTTCATTTCAACATATATCTGAGTAGTAACTGTCAGCTTGTGTTCCTTTTTTGTTCCAACAAACGAAAAAAAAAATAGGTGTTTTTTTCTTCTAGGTTTTATTCCTTTGTGTGAATTTAGTACCTGTGAAAGGTACCAGCCTGACAGCCTGGAGCCTGATGTTTTCTAATTTATACACAAAGCTAGTACAACAGGCAAGAGTGGCCACAGCACCACCGATTTTTTCATCTCCTGACATAATTTTGAAGGATCACCTCCAGGCATGAGGGCATTGTTCACTCCCAAACACGGACACTCACAAAAGTATGTTAAATATTTTTTCTCTCTCTTCAAGCTTCCAACAAATTAAATACTGAACATCATCTATGCAATGCTGTGATTTTCACATCTGTACATCAGAAATAAACATTTGTACATCAGAAGTAAACAGCAATTGGACTGAAGATAGCTTTGTTTGCTTTGTGTTAGAATGTTATATCCTAAAGATGACATGCATTTGTGAGGAAGAAAGCTCAGACTTGGACACAACCCTTAACTCAGGACCGTAGACTAAACTTCTCAAAAGAAAGGCCACAATGCATCACCTTCCTAACACCTAACAATATGTATATACATACCTAAAACACAGGTGTGTTTGTGCATACACACACACATCTATATATTGCACACATTATATATTGCATATGATTAACCACATGAGAATCAAAACTAATAGATGGTCCCAGTTTCTTAATAATTTTGTAGCTTATGTTTGGATGCTTTTGCAATGCTAGGGTGGAAATATTATTTAAGCTTTTTCCATTATTTGCAATATTTACAAATACCTCTTCCATGATGGTTAAAGAGGATTGTTAAGACCTCTCACTTATCCATACATTTTAATAAAATCTGGGGGAAACCAACTTTGAGGACCCTCCTTCTCTGCCACTTCTTCCTGTATCCATTTGGGTGGAAACTCATCACCTGATGCCAGCAGTATTTGAGCTGGACAGATATAAGGCAATGCAGTGGCGAGAGCCTAATCTAGTGATGACACAACCTGAAAGTCCTAATGTTGCAGGTTGATGGCAGTTCACCACCTCTGGCTGGAGAGCAGTGCCTGCTTATGCGGGAGGAAGCCTCAGTTAATAAAACCTCCTCTACATCAGCACTATTATCCTGTTTTCAGCTTGAGCTGGCTCACTGCTGAGCTCTTCTCTGGTTCCAGTCCTCAAGGTTACGTCAGGCACAGCCAGGTTGCCTATATCCTCACTACGTCCCGAGTATTGGTCTTTTCCCCACCAGTGCATTCCACCATAAAGGAATAGTGTATTCCTGAACTAACAGCATAAGAAATCTTCTGATTTGTGTAGAGTTCTTTGCTGGCATTTGCATACTACTGGCATAAAAGAATCAGGAAAAACTGCTTCACCAACTAAAGTTAATGATAGCGAGTGTGGGAGAGCAATACTAGCTCAGATTATTATAAATTACAATTTCAGTCATTAAAGATTTGTATTAAGTTTAACATCCAGAATGGCTTGGGGCATCATTTACTACAGAATAATTAAGAAAAGCTCTGTACAGATGCAACAACTCAAGCTAATATTTCAGACTGTTTGTTTCAGTGTATTTAATTATTACACATAGCACTATTTAAGAGTTTAATTTAAGATTAAGAAATTGCTGAGACAGAGGTGAAGGGAGCACTAGCAGCTAACTGAAATCTCCACTTGGCAAAATGTTTGATTTGTGGTGCAGGAGAGTGAGAGAGAAAAAAAAAAAAGCTGAACACATTGGTTCCAATGCTAGTCTTCCTACATATGTAAATATACTGACTCACACATACGGGAATACTCCCAATTCACAGTGATGTAAGCAAAACCAGAATCACGCTTGATTAGTCTGGCAAGATCTGATGAATGGAAAGAGCTAAATTTGTCCTGTGGAAGGAACAAGGTTAGAAGCAAGTCAGACTTTGTGCACTTGTTTGCATCTGCCTGGAGTGGGTAATACTAGTTTAAGTGGAAGGGGAAGTCTGATTTCATATGAATGACTATGCAAAATGCAAAGCAGCTGAGACTTGGGCTTCTGCTAACTTTTGCACTGCTCGTGTTTTTCTATCTGCAATGGAGCTGCCCTGCTTTATGCCAGTATGAGGAAGATCAAGTCCTGCTGCCAGGCTAACAACCCTTTCCTCTTTTTCTCTCTGCTCTGAAAGAACTGCTACCATTTGAAGAATATCTTTGTATATTAATTATTAATATTATT